GTTTTTACTCGCGATCTTTACAACACGCATTACATTACATATTTCATGGCACACTCGTTTATGCGTATTTGGCGTCTAGACCCTGAATATAAGATGACCGCGTTTTTTCAGATGTATTTCCAAGAAAAAAACATCGTCTTATATTCGGGTCAATACGGTAATTAAAAACAAGTTTAAATGAGTAAATCTTCTATACACATAGATACTGTGCATTTATACACTTTTTGTTTGAAATCAAATTTATTTTGTCCATCAGAAGTGTGCTGTCACTTTAATTGAGTGTGAGCAGCGCAGCAAAAATAGACTCGGCGCTGAAACCATCGCTTTATGCCGGGTTCAGACTACACAATATTTCTGCTCATGCTACACTCCTGCTCCCAGTGTGAATGCACTCATTTGTAAACATGCACGCTGAAGAAACTATGTGCTGCTCATGCTTGTGGTGTGAAACCGGCCTTAAATTAACTTTAACTAACAAATAAAACTATAAAGTCATATTTTTGGACACCACAATGTTTAGAACTGAAAAGAGAGGAAAAAATTTGGGCATGATACTTGGTTGTCAATTCCCAAGGAATGCATGACTTGATGAAATGTAAACCCTGATTGCAACTGAAATTACTTTGTATAAAACTGTAGTCCACACAGAATTAAAAACTGGAGAGAACTGAATGAGAAATGAAGTTCTTACCCTCAATCACTTCTTGTCTTGACAGGGAACTTACTAAGTTGAGGACCTTTGGTCTGTGAGAGCAGATCAGATCAATGGCTACACAGAACATAAACGTCATCACCTGGAATGTAAATGGACTTCAACAAAACAGAGAACAGAAACGTCAAGAACTGCAAAATGCAGATGTTGTTTTCTTACAAGAGACACACATTGGCATAGGAGTTGAAAATATTCTAGAAGACTATGAAGATGAGTGGTACATTTTCTACACAAAGTACAGCTCCTCCAGCAAGGGAACAGCCATACTAGTGAGGAAAAGTCTAGATTTTGAACACATAAGTAATGAGAAAGATCATTGTGGAGCTTATGTTGTGTTGAAGTGTAAACTGGGAGGTCAGCTTTACACTCTGGTTAGTGTTTATAACCATGAAACGGACACAAAAACTCTTGATGATCTTTCAAGATACCTGCAGTCAATGGCAGCAGGGCTGCTGGTGATCGGTGGAGATTTCAACACGGTTCTCAATCCATTTATTGACAAAAAATGGAATAACAACAGAAATCATAGAAAGTTGCTCTTAGAGAGGTTCATGAAATCGCTTCAGTTGGTTGATGTCTGGAGAAGAAGGAACCCCATGAAGAAGGATTATACATACTACATAAGAGACTCTCCTGTGTCCAGGCTGGATTACTTCTTTGTTCCAGAAGAATGTATGTGGCGTGTCAGAAGTTGTGAAATCGGAGACTCAAACATTACAGACCACCGACCTGTGTCTTTAGAGCTCAACATCCCTGCAGTGCCTTTTAAGGAACATCCCCAGATACAAGCAAGCTTGGAACTGCTCAGTTTAAAAAAGGATCTTTTGACAGATGAGATGGGTTCATTATTGGATGAAGAAAGCTCACATGCAGTCAGTGAAGTTGACATTGTGTCTGCTGTAAATTCTCTTCAAGTATCAGACACACCGAGACCAGATGGCATCCCAGTTTCCTTCTATCAAGACAACATTCAGGTCATAATTCCATACATAAAGATGCTCTATGAGAGAATCCACAGAGGTGCATTTAACTGTTCTGAGAGATATTTTAATGAATCTCTGAAAAGTATGCTTAATCATAGTCAACACATTTTTAACGTTGACTATCTAATCATCGCAACTATTCTGGCAAGATATCTAGATGATTTCTTGAAGCCTGTTTTAAAGGGGAAGCTAAAAGATCCATCTACTCTCATGATCACGTCTAAAACACTCTGCACTCAAAGAATGCTGTGCCATCTGAAGGATGAGATAGAGGAGCACAACCAGTCAAATTCAACTCTTTATCAGGACTTTCTTACTCTGGAAAATCTCCTTGGAGATTCAGAAGATTTTTCTGCTCAGAAAGACAACTTGCTGTGTCAGGGCTGCCCTTTGACCCCGGTACTCGTACCTTCAACACTAAAATGCTATGCCTTAAAGCTATGCAAGGATTTAGAAAATTATGCAATTCATGTTTTCAAACCAAATGTGATAGTCTGCATTCCACCCGAGGACCTAGATAAGGTTGATACTATGGTAAACAGGACCAATGAAGAATATGATATTGAAACACTATCCAGCGGAAAAAGAGATAAACTGTTACATCTAAGCTCCACGCATAAGGAGTCTGCAGGTGAGGATTGTGATGAACTGAAGGAAGATGAAGACAAAAATTGTCCTGAAAGTGATATGGAGAGTGTGGAGTGTGAAGAAAGTGATTACGGGTCTAATGGACATGAGAAAAAAGATAAATCAATGGATGGAAGGTGAGGATCACACATCAATTATCAAGAAGATAACTAATAATATTTGGTGGACTTAATTATTAGAGACATAAAACACCCAATGTGTGTGTGTTCCCGTATTGGACAAACTTTTTTTATTCTCACCTACATGTGAATGTTGCACTTTATATATATACACACACACACACACACACACACACATATATGAAGAGTTTGGTTCCAAAACGCGATAAATGCCTTTTGATTAATTTGAGTAAAAATGTGTTTTCTTTACCAAGAAAGTGGCAAGATGAAAAGCTGTCATATGTGGATCAACTTACTATGTTGTGTATTTTCAACAGTTTCAATATGAAAAATAACTTTTATATTGATTCAATGGATTTATTGCATTTTGGGGGAAAAAAACTGTCATGGATTTATTGCATTTTGGGGAAAAATAATGATACAATTTGATAATAAATCTTTGAAAATCAAAATCTGGATTTGAATTTTTAATGTCGCGCATCTCGTCAGTAAAGCCGGTTCTATGATTAATAGTAAATCTCCATCACGTGCTTTCAGATGGAGTGGCA